CCTCCCTCCCTCCCTTGTCTCTGTTCTTGCAAATCGTAGGTAATTTAAATGTAGATTTTAGAATGTAGACTGTAGGGTTTTTTAATAGAATGATTTTTTGACTATTTTAGGTGTTTTGAATAAAATAGAAATAAGAAAATTTAGGGTAGAACTAGGGTAGTAGAATTTTTAGCAAGTGTTTAATAGAAATAGTTTATTTAGTAAGTGATTAATATAACTAGTTTATTTATATTAAGTTCTTAATAGAACTAGTTTATTTAGTAAGTGCTTAATAGAACTAGTTTATTTATAGTAAGTGCTTAATAAAACTAGTTTATTTAGTAAGTAGTTAATAAAACTAGTTTATTTAGTAAGTAGTTAATAAAACTAGTTTATCTAGTGTTAGGATTATATATAAAATATTTTCAAATGTTTTTTTTTCATATTTTGAACCATTGAAATGCAATGACCATCAATAAATAGCCTATGTGTTTGCTGGAGTGTTGGTTAATTTCCGTTCCAGCAAATTTCAGGCACTCGATATGTCCTTTTTAGCAAAGGTCATGCCGGATTTTTTGGGTTTTGCCGTTGAGTTATAATCTTTGAATTTTGAACACAGGAGATGTCTGATGATGATGGGATCCCGGAGTGCGGGTACTGCTACGATGACCGGGGGTGTGTGCGACAGGTTTCCTCACCTGCAAAATGATAGGTTTTTCACCGTGAAGCTAGAAGAGACCTTCGATGTTTGTACGGTACGCAACTACAAGCATTTCATCGTAATTAATATCATCACTTGTGCTTCTTTTGTTCAACGTGTAATTTATGGTTTTTTTTTCAATTCAGCTAGTACATCCCGTGCCATGCTAGACCATATGTATTGGAGAAGCTTGGTTTTGGTTTAGATGACTTTGAGAATGTGGAGACGAGGAGGGCTCACTTAAGAACTAAACATGGTTACGAGTTTCTGGTTAAGTTCTACAATGCGGTCGATCGCTCCCATTTCGCTTACTCTAATTGGGAAGCTGATGTAGGGCGGAACCCTAGGGGCCGATCTTTCACGTTTGGAGCGTCTGCAACGTATCTATAATTTTTTATTGTTCCATGCTATTTTACACATTTATATCATTTTTGGGACTAACCTACTAACTGGAGGCCCAACCTGTAGTGCTGTTTTTTTGCCTATTTCAGTATTTCGAAGAAAAGTAATATCAAACGGAGTCCAAACGGAATGAAACCTTCGGGAGTGTGATTTTTGGAACGAACGTGATCCAGATGACTTGGAGTGCAAGCCAAGAAGCAGCCGAGGCAGCCATGAGGGTGGGGGGCGCGCCCACCCCTATAGGGCGCCCCCTGTCTCGTGGGCCCCTCGGGCATCCACCGACCTACTTCTTCCTCCTATATATACCCACGTACCCCAAAAACATCCAGGGAGCCAACGAAAAACAATTTCCACCGCCGTAACCTTCTGTATCCACGAGATCCCATCTTGGAGCCTTCGCCAGCGCTCCGTCGGAGGGGGAATCGACCACGGAGGGCTTCTACATCAACACCATAGCCCCTCTGATGAGTTGTGAGTAGTTTACCACAGACCTTCGGGTCCATAGTTATTAGCTAGATGGCTTCTTCTCTCTTTTTGGATCTCAATACCATGTTCTCCCCCTCTCTTGTGGAGATCTATTCGATGCAACTCTTTTTGCAGTGTATTTGTCGAGATCCGATAAATTGTGGGTTTATGATCAAGTTTATCTATGAGAAATATTTGAATCTCCTCTGAATTCTTTTATGTATGATTGAG